ACACCAGAGTCCTCTAATTCTATATATTTTCCTTCCTTTTATTAAATGCTCCACACTGTCTCTGCTGCAACTTTATTCACTATAGTGAATCAATAGACCCGATTTTTGTTCACTGCAGGTTTGTTCCTAGTAGTGTTGGGTTGATTGGGTTTGGACACTGTCTTTCCCAACTTCGGGGTTCCTGGACTACAAATTTTGAAAACAGATATAACACAAAACTATTTCACTGCTAAATACGAATGCACCTAACATGTCAGATAGTCATGCACATGGCTACCATGTCTATTTGGTCACATTAGGGTTGGCTTACACATCAGAAAGGTTTTAAAAAGGAAAAAAAGTCATCCTGGGGCTGGGCAAGGTGGAGCATGCCTGTAATCCCAGTGACTTGGGAAGCTGAGGGAGGAGGATTGCAAGTTGGAGGCTAACCTCAGCAATTTAGCAAGGCCCTAATCAACTTAGTGAGACCCGTATCAAAACAAAAATAAATAAACAAATAAATAAAAGGGGCTTGCGTTATGATTCAGTGGGTTCAATCCCTGATACCAAAAAATAAAAACACACAAAAAAAGGAAGCCTGGAAAAGGTATGGGAGAAAAAGGGGAATGGAGAGAAGATGGTTAACAGGATACTGGGATGAGGCTGGATAGGAAGAATAACTTCTCATGTTTTATAATAGTACAGTTGGATAAGTGGGGCAATTATTGGTGTATTTTAAAATCACTAGTAGAGAAGAATGTTCCAAACACAAAGAAATGATAAATGTTTGAGGAAGCAGATATATCAATTATCCTGAATGATTGATTGCGGTACTGGAGATTGAACCCTGTACATGCTAGGCAAGTACTCCACTGGTGAGCTATAACCCCAGCCCTTTATTTCAATTTTATTTTGAGACAAGGTTTAGCTAAATTGACCAGGCAATTTGCAATTGCAATTCTCCTACCTCAGTCTCCAGAATAACTGAAGCATGCCACAACACACAAAGCTCCCTTATCTGATCTTTACACACCATATACATGTATTAAAATGCCACATTGTGGCATAAGGCATAAATATTTAGTTAATATGTTTTAACTAATATATATATATATATATATATATATATATATAGAGAGAGAGAGAGAGAGAGAGAGAGAGAGAGAGAGAGAGAGCGCACGCGCGCGCGCAGGGAGGCTGAGGCAGGAGGCTCCCGAGTTCAAAGCCAGCCTCAGCAATTTAGCGAGACCCTAAGCAAATCAGTGAGACCCTGTCTCTAAATGAAATACAAAACAAGGGCTGGAAATGTGGTTCAGTGATTGAGCGCCCCTGGATTCACTCTCAAGTACCAAAAACAAACAAACAAACAAAACCCCCATAAAACTGTGTGTGTGTGTGTGTGTGTGTGTGTGTGTGTGTGTGTGTGTAGGGTCTGAGCAGTCTGGGCAACTTTGAGGCTTTTTCTCAAAAATAAAATCTGAAAAAGGCTGGGGGTGTAGCTCAGTGGTAGTAATACTTGCCTAGCTTGCCTAAGACTCTGGGTTCAATTCCTCAGCACCGCAAACAAAATTAATAAAAAAGTTCTTGGTAGCTTTTGGTTCACTTCTTGAACCCTTAATCAGGGTTCTGGGTAGCTTTTGGTTCACTTCTTGAAGAGGTTAGCTTTCTTTCTCTTTGGGGCTTCAGAAAAACAGGTCTTCATCTCCAGTGACGGAGAAAAATATGAAACACAAATACTAAGCCGAAGCTGAGAGAAATACCAGGGTCCATCTGGTTAGAGGTAGGCAACCCTGGCTACGTAGGGCAGAGAACCTGCGACAAAGCAGGAAATTGGGCATCTGCTACCTTCCCCCGCGTCTCCCTTCCGGCCTGGACGCGCGATACCCACCCCTGGAGGACCCACTGCAGGAACCCTGCCCCGCGCATCCACGTCTCTTGCAACAAACAAGAACGAGGGAGCAGCACAGGGGCCGGGAGAGGGCTTCCAGGGCATTTCCTGTATGAAAAAAAAAAAAAAATCGGATGAAAAATCCTAAATCTATCTAAACTGAGAGTGCCTGAAGGCAGACCGCATAGATTCTAAGTGTGCACCACGCCTCGCCTCTAGGTGATTGGTCTTTCGGCAAGGGCGTGGCCCCACAGGTACAGGCTGATTGAAGTAGAGAGCTAGTACAGGCTCCATCTTGGCTCCTGGCGTCGCCCTCGAATTGCCCTTCCTCCTTGCTGATTGGAAGAACCAGTTGAATGTGTCGGAAAGGGCGTGGCCCTGCAGGTAGTTAGCGGTCCAATGAGCTAAGAACGAGCCCAGGGCGCCATCTTGGTTCCTGGCGTCACCCTCAGATTGCCCTTCCTGCCGGTGATTGGACGGGAGGGGCGGGTCTTCCGGGAGGCACGTAGCCGGCCAACCAGAATTCTGTGTGTATTGGGTCAGGTCATCTGGTTTCTGACGTCTGTAGCGGCTAAGTTATCTGATTCATTCCTGTACGCCGGCCGTCTCCTGGTGGATAGACAGGGCTTGCTTGAATAAAATTACCGTGCCATTAAAATGGAGCTTTTAGCCAGCGCGCTGCATCCTTTAATACCAGTGGCTCTGGAGGATCCCAAGTTCGAGACCAACCTGGGCAACTTAGACCCTATCTTAAAAAATAAAACGGACTGGGGATGCAGCTCACTAGTAGAGAGTTTGTCCAACATGTTCCAGGCCCTAAATTCAATCCCAGACACACACGCACATATGCACACACAGCTTGGAAGAAATCCAAAGCAACCTAATGCTGTTTAGAAAGGGGTCTTGAGGTGGTTCTTCAAAGATGTGCTGCAGTTTTGTTTGTTTTTGGTACCAGGGATTGAACCCAGAGACGTTTAACCACTGAGCCACATTCAAAGTCCTTGTTTTATATTTTATTTAAAGACAGGGTCTTGCTAAGTCACTTAGGGCCTTTCTAAATTGCCAAGGCTGGCTTTGAACTCATGATCCTCCTGCCTCAGCCTCCCAAATTCCTGGGATTACAGGCTTGCGCCACCACACCCTGCTTGCAGTTTTTTTTTGTTTTGATTAAAACGCCAGAGGGCGTTTAAGACCTGAGCCACATCCCCAACCCTTTTTATTTTTTTATTTGGAGAGAGGGTCTCACCAAGTTTCTTAAGGCTTCCTTAAGTGAATGAGGCTAGGCTGGAAGAGCTTGTAATTCTCCTGCCTCAGCCTCCTGAGTCTGGGATTTCAGGAGTGCTAGCACTCCGGGCTGCATTGCAATTCTTAAGGGAAATAGAGAGGGGAACACATTCTAGGAAAGGAGGATCTCAAGTGTATGAAAGGCCAGGGGGTGGGGGTGGGGGGTGTAGGTATAGTGAGATAGGAGTGGAAGAAGCAGAATGACCAGATCTGTAGAGAAAAAATAGGAGGGTGTTTTGGGGTGAGATTGTGGAATGCGTGTTTGTTTGAAGAATGAAATCCATGGACACAAGGGTGAGAGCAAATAGGATGTATTAGAGTAATAGAAGAAAACAGAACTCCCCAAGGGGGAGGGATCCCAAGAGAGGGTTGCCAAGGGATGTGTGTTCTCTAGGAGTTTATATCAATCATGGGGTTGAGAAAGTTAGCACCCAACCCTGGGTAAGGCAGTGTGCACAAACTCTTCGTAAACCTTTTGGTCCAGTCAGATTACCCTGCCTTTTTTGGAGGGAGTCTGACCACCAGGCAACAGATGTTTCACTATCAGTTTGTATACTTACCTAGGAATCAGCCTGACCTTGGTGAGGCCTGGCTTTTATTGTCTGTAGTCTTTTAGTCCTGCTATACAGAAACCTGACCTTGAAGGGGCCCAAGTTGCCTTTTTTGTGCCTCATTATCATGAAAGACTAAGAAAGGCTCAGCAACTGTTATAAATTTTATTAATTTGGTACTGGCAATTTGAACCCAGAGGTGCTTTAACACTGAGCTACATCCTCAATTTGAGACAGGGTCTCCCTAAGTTGATCAGGCTGGCCTTAAACTTGCAGACCTCCTGATTTGGGTGCCACAGTCATGGGTGGTTATAGATGTTATTTGTTTACTTGGGACACCAGAGATTGAAGCCATGGAAGCTTAACCCCTGAGCCACATCCTCAGCCCTTCTTATTTTTTGAGACAGGATCTCACTAAACTGCTTCTCACCTAACTTGCTGAGTCCGGCTTTGAATTGCAATCCTCCTGACCCAGCCTCCAGAACCTCTGGGATTACAGGCAAGCACCACGCACCCACCCTGTTACTGATAAGAGATCTGCCAACTAAATACAACTTGTAATCCCTCAATTAGATAGGGACCAGGGTTTTTTTCTTTCTTTCCCCATTTGCTCCAAAGGAGCAAGTGGGACTACTGAAAATATGTGAATAAGGATTGTGTACTAAATTAATGTTTCCCGATTTTGAAAATTGTACTTACAATGTAAGAGAATGTCTCTGTTGTTAGGAAATGGATTTAAGAGTGTAGCGAGAAAGGAATATCATGTCTGCAATTCCCTCTCAAAACGGTCCAGAATAAAATGATAGAATGAGAAAGCAAACCTAAAATAGTAACATTTGGGGAATCTAGAAATGTAGAAAGGTTTATGGAGATTACTTCTAGTTTGGTAGCATTTCTACTAAACTATTTTAAAATAAAAAGTTAACAAAACTACTGTGATCACTTACGGAGGGAATATGAGAAAATAAAGCCCTAGTACTAAACTATGAGTAACATCAAAGTTTAGACAAAAATCCGAGAGCAGTGAACACTGGAAGATGTTTTTAAAAATGGGACGCGAACAGTTTTGATGGAAAACATAGCCTTAGTATTCTTCTTTACCCTGAAGGTCTAAGAAAGGAAAACTTTCCTGCAATTCGCCCATTCAAACCACCCAATTCAACTTCATCCCACAAGCCCGCGAAAAACCAGCAGGCAATTAGCCGGAGAAGCCTTGTTTTCCAGCGAGCATGCGCACGCACGCAGGTCCCAATCAATCGGTGCTCACGTCGGCGTCTCTTTACGTCAGGGGCGGGCACTCTTCTACACATGCGCAAGATCGAAAAGGCCATCTTTCTCGCCCTACGCCGCCAACATGGTGAGTCTCACTGCTGATGGCTCCGTGACTGGGGCCATGCCTCTTGACTTTTTCCTCGGAGGGAATTTTGAGCCCTGGAATGGAACCCAGAGGGTCCTGGGAAACGCTTATTGAGGGTCCCTGGGCGGTCGCTGCGCGGAACTCGGCCAGTTCTGGGCGCGTGGCCGGCGATCGCGCTGAGGGCCCGGCACCCCGGCGCGCCATGGGCCACGCGTGCGTGCCGCCACCCAAAGCAGCATGGCTGAGACCGTCGTAGCTTCCCCAGCCTCTGGGGCCGAGTTGGACTGGGTGCTTTCGTTCTGGGGCATGCAGGGCCTTTGAGCCTGGAAGCCGGCTTTCCCCCAGCGCCACCCCTGCTGATTTCGTTCATTTAGGTCCTCTCCAGGCACTTGGGCGTGTTCCACTTAGTCGTTCTCTGAATTAGGCATGTTGTCTATAGGCTGGGGGACGTTATAGCAAACCTTTAAATATTCACTGTGTTTTCTCTCCCTGCGCTTTCAGGTTTTCAGGCGTTTTGTGGAGGTTGGCCGGGTGGCCTACGTCTCCTTTGGGCCTCATGCTGGAAAGCTGGTTGCAATTGTAGATGTTATTGATCAGAACAGGGTATGTATAAGAAAGAAAAAGTGTCCTAATTTTGACTTAACGTGGCAGTGAATGGTACCCACTATAGATGATACTGTAATTAAGTGACCTGTTGGGAGCTCTTTGGGTGGCAGTGTTATTTTACCGTTCAGTGTGGGTAGGGTTTCAAGCGCAGACTTGAGTTAGCTGCTACTTCTGGGTTATAGTATTGCCTCAGCCTTTTAAACGTGCTTTCGGCCAATTCTAGAACAAAACATTGGCTATGTTTAAGTTATTATGTGTAAAACGAGTTCAGAACATACTCAGGCATACAGAAAGCACTTTGTACTGTTGTTAGTCTTTTAATAATATGTGGGTTGGATGGTTCTGAAAAGACAAGTAATTATACAGAATATTTATTCATTTAAATTGCTGTCATGTTTTACACTGAAGTCTCTGATCTTTGTATTTTAGGCTTTGGTTGATGGACCTTGCACTCAGGTAAGGAGACAGGCCATGCCTTTCAAATGTATGCAGCTCACTGATTTCATCCTCAAGTTTCCTCACAGGTAACTATCCACCAATCATCACAATTCCCTCTCCTTAGTTTTGTTTATACTACTAAAAGTTTGTTTAATTTTGAAAACCTTGCCACTTTTGTTGTCTTTCTCTTGAGAATACAATAAATAATACAGAAGATTTATAACTGTTCCAGAAGAAGGATTTATATTATGAAGTAAATAGGCATTATTTACTTTTAAAATGACCTTCTCTTTTCTTCTGGTGTCATAATCACTTTTAGCCTTAAAACAACAGTGTGTCACTCTTGTCTCTTTCAATACTGTTATCATTAGTTGAATTTTGAATGTGTTGTTTACTAAGTATTTAGCTTTGGGGGTTTAAGTTGTTAACTTTGGATACCTGTATAGTGTTCCAGAAAATATTTATATTCTATATTTGCGTCATCTCCTAACATCTGCCACCACTACCTGAAAACAAAAACCCTAATAGGACAGAAACTGTGATATGCTGGATACCTTTAGCTGGGCGTGTGCATTTAGGATGTTTGAGTACTGTTTTTTCTTTAAACTTACCATTCATACAGCCTGGAATGAGTATATCCATTCTGTTGCTACTGTGATTACACATTATTACATTATTTAAAGAACAGTTAGGGGTGAATCTTGAAGATGCTCACGGAGGATCACAACAATACAGGAGTTTCTGGTGACTTGGGTTTTCTTTGGGTACCCTTGTAATTCTTTGATCTCTGAGTGATACATACTGGGTTTATTTTTGGCCACAAGTTGTTGTATGAAGTGATATGTCATCAGTGGTGATTTTTAAGTCTAGTAAAATGGATTAGATTACAGTTTTGATAAAATTATACTTCAATTTATGTCTTGGCTGTGTGAACACCATTCAGTAGGTAAAACACATTGTTGTGCCGGATGGTATGTATGCCAAGTAAGACTATAGTGAAAAGTGTAATGGAATCCTTCCTAAAGGAAAAAGTTTTGTGACCTAAAAACTTTGTTACTTGCTGGGTACACTGGCACATACCTTTAATCCCAGCTGCAAGGGAGGCTGAGGCAAGAGCACTACAAATTCAAAGCCAGTCAGGGCAGCTTAATGAAACCTTTGTCTCAAAACAAAGAGGGCCTTAGGATGTGACTCAGTGCTTGCATCTGTGCAAGGTCCTGTGTTCGATCTACAGTGCCAGAGAAGGCCAATTGCTTAATCTGTGGTTTTGCCTCTTTGTAGTGCCCGTCAGAAGTATGTTCGGCAAGCCTGGCAGAAGGCAGATATCAATACAAAATGGGCAGCCACAAGATGGGCCAAGAAGATTGAAGCCAGAGAAAGGGTAATGACTTTGGGTCATTTGAATTCTGACTTTGTCTCTTTTGAAGGATTTGAAGTAAGATAATTTTTCATTTCTTTTTAAATAGAAAGCCAAGATGACTGATTTTGATCGTTATAAAGTAATGAAGGCAAAGAAAATGGTAAGTTTTTAAATCTATGTCCTGTAAGTTTGCTTCTGGATAAGAAAACAGTAACCAATTTCCATTTCAGGCTGCTGCCTCTTTGGAGCTTACTGTGAAAAGAGGTTGTCCTTATTTGCTTTATTTCATGGTATCCTTAAGAAATTATTCTTTTTATTTGGATTTAGTTGTGGAGAATGGGCCACTTAATGCCCTTTCTAAAAACTAGCATATGTCAGTATTATGTATGCATATGTAATAAATGTTTTTCTTATGTTGATTCTTTTCAGAGGAACAGAATAATCAAGAATGAAGTTAAGAAGCTTCAGAGGGCGGCTATCCTGAAAGCTTCTCCCAAAAAGGCACCTGTTGCTAAGGCTGCAATTGCAGCTGCAGCAGCAGCTGCTGCTGCTGCTAAAGCTAAAATTCCAGCAAAAAAGGTAACTCCAGCAGGCAAGAAGGCTCCGGCCCAAAAGGCTCCTGCCCAGAAAGCCTCAGGCCAGAAGGCAGCAGCGCCGCCTCCAAAAGCTCAGAAGAGTCAGAAAGCTCCAGCCCAGAAAGCACCTGCTCCGAAGACATCTGGCAAGAAAGCATAAGAGGCTATTAAAAAAGGAATAAAGATTCTTTTGACATGTTGGCAAATCTGTTAAAAGTCCTTGGATTTTAAACTTGTTGCTGAGGCAGGGTTAGGAGGCAGATTGATAAACATCAGGCTCAGTTCCTTAAACTGCCCAGGCTTGGTTATACACAACCATAACTAACTGATCTCATTACAAATCATGATAATTAGAAAGTGACTTTATTTCCTTGTGCAAAAAAACATTTTCCCACACGGGGTAGAGTTCCAGCCTCCTGATGTACAAGAAACTAAAGTTTTCTTTTAAAAATAGTATATAAGAAAATAGACAAATATGCAAATAATATGGTGGATTGATTTCTTGTCTTTTCATACCCTCTCCCCCAAATTTTGATAGAGATTCTAGCTCTGTCCCCCTTTTTTGGAGATAGGGTCTATTTTGCCCTGGCTAGTCTTGGCCTCCTGGGCTCAGGTAATCCCCCTGATTCTTAAAGCTGTGTAACTTGGGCAAACCCTTAATCCCCAAAGCCTGTTTCCTATGCTTTGGAGTGGTTAGTAGTTAATGGTTGTATAGCCTATTGAGAGGCTTATTAGAGATAAGGTAGTGCTGGTTAGGATAGGTGGGGTTCATGAATTAACAATTGAGATGGAAATTTAGAGATCAGAAACTAGCAGGTTGACATGGAAAGAAACCTGGGATGGCATTTTTTGGTTGAGTTTGCCAAAGCGGGAGAGTAAGTGAAAGAAACAGGGAAGTTGAAATTTGTTTTGCTAACTATCTGGGTGCATCAGGAAAAGGAGCTAATGAAAGAAGCTCAGTGCCCAAAGTATGGAATGGTGAATCGGGCATTAGCTTTAGGGGAAAGATGTCTTTTGCATGAGGAATTTAGAAAGGTTTAGATAATCTCTAGATCTAAGGGGGATGAGAATATACATTTGCAGGACAGAAGTTAGTAATTGCATGTGGAGGAAGTGGGAGAGCACTTCTTTGCAGCATTTTGGGTCTAGCCTATGAGGTTGTCAGGATGAGAATGTTTTAGAGAACAATTGGAAATACAAATCCAAAGGACTTTAGGAAAGTGTCTGAGGCATAGGGCACCTGAAAAGGACTAAGAGTTGGACCAAATAATAGATTTTGTGGCCAATGATATATCTTTAGGAAGATTAGCATAACAGTATAATCTAGATTGAATTGGAAATGGGAGGTAGGTTGAGGAAAAAGTAGGTACTTAAAGTTCACTGCACATATGTTCTGTTACCATGATGAAGGGAAGGTGGCTTGAAGGAAATATTGAAGCTGAGTGGGATGGCACAACCCTGTAATCCCAGCTATTCGGGAAATAAGAACCCAAGATCCAGGCCTGCCTGAATAATTTAGTGAACCCCTGTCTCAAACTTTAAAATACAAGGACTAGTGATAAAAGTCAGTAGAACACCCCTGGGTTCAATCCCCAATATTGCCAAAAAAAGTATTCAGATTTAAATCTGAGTATTACTGAGTGGGGCCTGTACTATCTATGAAACTCATCTAAAAATCAGGGGACCCAATACTTCCCTTATATTGTGGTAAGTATCATATGAAATGCTTGTGAAAATAAGTATAGTGTGTATCCTTAGTATCAGGTCTTCACTTAAAGGATACTCAATAACAGGTTGAATTGTGTTGCTCTAAAGTAGTTTTATGGACAAAATTTGGATAGTTGGATTTTCAGGGAGCCTCTGCTTCAGTTGCCTCAGATATTCAGATGGCATGTCCTCTAATTCGTGGTATTTTTCCTCTCATTTGTTGGGTGAAATACTGTTTAGTATCTAAATTAAAGGCTACACTTAAATCTACCAAGTAGCTGAATTTAATTAATTTTGGTACTGGAGATTGAATCCAAGGGAGTTTAACCACTAAGCCACATCCCCAGCCCCTTTATATATTTTTTTAAAATATTTTTTTAGTAGTAGACAGACATAATACCTTTACTTTATTTGTATTTATGTAGTGCTGAGGATTGAACCTGGTACATCACACACACAAGGCAAACGCTCTACCATCTGAGCCCAGACCCTCTACATATTTTATTCTGAGACAGGGTCTCAATGAGTTGCTTAGGGCCTCACTAAATTGCTGAGGCTGGCTTTGAATTCGAAATCCTCCTCACCCTTCCAAGCCACTGGGAATTAAAGGCATGTGCCACCATGCCTAGCATAGCTGAATTTTAAATCCAGTCATAAATATATTGACACCATAATAAGACATTTTAAAGTAAAGGGCCCCTTGGTCTCCAATTCCAGAACTTTGTAAAGGAAACAATTATGTACATTCTCGCAGATATTTTTCTATGCATTTCTCATATGTGTACAAAAAGTAGTCACATGATTCCTCGTTTTAAGCAATGTTTATGCTGCATATATTCTGTAACTTGTTTCTTTGAAAAAAATGCATTATAGCAATCATATCTGGTTGGCATCTATTAAACCTTCTCCAGAGAAACAACCAATGTGATAAGGTATGAAAAATTTAAAGGTATTGACTTGTGATACAGAGGCCAAGAAGTTCATGATCTGTAATCCACAAACTAGAAAACTAAGAAGTTGGTGCAATTTAGTTTCAATACAAAGGCCTGAGAACTCAGAGCCATTGGTGTAAGTCCCAGCCCACTTCTGAAGGTTCAAGAACCAGGAGTTGCTGAGGCTGAACATAGGAGAAGATGGGTATTTCACTCAGAAGAAAATTCAGGCCCTCAACAGATTTAGTAAAACCTACCTACATTGAGAAGGGTGATCTGGGTGATCTTTATAAAGTCAGCTGATTCAGATGCAAATCTCTTTCAGAAAAACTCTCACAGACACCCAAAAATGTTTTACCAATGATCTAAGCATCTCTTAGTTGACACACCAGAATTAATGGTCAAATCCCCTATTCGTCCACCTATTTCTTTTTACCTTCTTCATAGTAATCCATAATATGAATGTTCATTTTTAAAGCAAATTTTATGATACCTATATTATATAACTTTAAAATGCAGAGTATTAATTCATAGTGTTTATTATGGATGTTCATTTGACTCTTGGTAAACATTAAGTATGTTGCCACCTGGGTATGGTGGCACTCACCTGTAATCTCAGCTGCTTGGGAAGATAAGGCAGGATGATTGAAAGTTTGAGGATAGCCTGGGCAATTTAGTGAATGACCTGTCTGAAAATTTAAAAAATAAAAATGGCTCAGTAGTAAGGTGACTCTGGCTTCAATCCCCAGTACTGGGGTGGGGTGGGAGGGGGAATGCTGCTAATTGCTTTTTCTCTTTAAACAGTACTTACAGGGCTGGGAATGTAGCTCAGTCGCTAGAGTGCTTGCCTCACATGCACAATGCCCTGGATTCAATCCCCAGAACTCCCCCCCCCCCAAAAAAAAAAAAAGATTATTTATCAATCTATATATGTATACACACACACATATATATATTAAATATATACTGTGCATATATAATATGTATTATATATACTGTGTGTGTGTGTGTGTGTGTGTATACACACACACACACACACAGTACTTAAGTGAAGTAAATATCCTTGTACCTACCTCCTACACAAAATTGCATTTATTTGGGGCACATTTACCAATCAATCAGTGCAGTTGGTAGATTGAACAGGGTGTGTGTTGTTTTTCGTACTGGGAGTGAACCTAGCGGTGTTTTACCAGTGAGCTACACCTCCAGCTCCCTTTTAATTTTTATTTTGAGACAGTTTCACTAAGTTGCCTAGGCCGACTTCAAACTTGTAATCCTCCACCCTCAGCCTCCCAAGTAACTGGGATTGTACCACAGCACCCTGCTTTAAGTTTTATTCTAAATACACAAATCAGAGTGTAACTGACATGATATTTGCTTCTGAATACTTTTTGTACTGGGTATGCAATGCATTCTTGTAATCCCAGTGACTCAGGAGGCTGAGGTAGGAGGATTGCAAGTTTGAAGACAGCCTCAGCAACTTAGCAAAACCCTGCCTCAAAGTAAAAATTTAAAAGAATTAGAGATGTAGCTCAATTGTGAAGCTTTCCTGGATTCAACACCCAGTGCCAAAAACAAACAACAACAAAATAAAACAACATCTTTGTGTGAATGTGTGGTGCTAACGATTGAAACGAGGGTCTCACATGTGCTAAGCAAGTGCTCTACCTGTCAGCCACACTTCCAACTCAACATTTGCTTTTTTTTTTTTTTTTTGATACCAGGGATTGAAACCAGAGGCACTTAACCACTGAGCCACATCTCCAGCTCTTTTTTTTTTTTTTTTTTTTTAATTTTGACACAAGGTCTTGATAACTTGTTTAGTGAACTCGTTAAATTGCTGAGGCTAGCTTTGAACCTGCCATCTTCCTGCCTCACTTCCCCCTTGGGATCACAGGCATGTGCCACCATGCCCAGCAACATTTGTTTCTTGAAATTTGAAATTTTCTTAGTTGCCTACCTGGCATACTTAAGTTTAAAGAGAATGTGTGTAATGGGTTGGGGATGTAGCTCAATGGTAAAGTGCTTGCCCAGCATATATAAAACCCTGGGTTCAATCCCCAGTACCACCAAACAACAACAACAAAATGTATATTATCTTCTTGCTGTTTATAGTAATTTCTGTTAATAGTTATCCTTACTATTGAAATTCTTTGTATTACATTTTTGCCTATTTAATTTTAAAGAATTGTGTTAAAAATCTCTGTACAAATATAGATTTATCAGTTTCTTATATTTCAAATAGTTTTTTGCTTTACATATATTAAAATGTGATGTTGCCAGGCGTGGTGAGCACATGCCTGTAATCCCAGTAGCTCGGGAGACTGAGGCAGGAGGATCGAGAGTTGAAAGCCTGCCTTAGCAATAGTGAGGCTAAGCAACTCAGTGAGACCCTGTGTCTAAATAAAATACAAAATAGGGCTAGGGATGTGGCTCAGTGGTGGTTGAGTGCCCTTGAGTTCAATTTCTGGTACAAAAAAGAAAAAAAAAAGTGATGTTAGATATATTGAGTTAGTTATCACTAGAACTTTTTGTAGATTAGACTTTCTCAGTGTGAATATCTCCCT